GGCTCAGTTGGTTAAGCGACTGCCTTCGGCTCGGGTCATGATCCCAGCGTTCTGGGATCGAGTCCCACATGGGGCTCCTTGCTCAGCAGGGAGCCTGCTTCTCCCTCTGCCTCTGCCTGCCACTCTGTCTGCCTGTGCTCGCTCTCTCTGACAAATAAATAAAAAAAAAAAAAAAAGAAAGAGTAAAGTTCGCTGTGGAAGACCCGATTCTCGCTCTCTGAGATAGGTGGCCCATGGCTTTTGGCTCCGGAGTCCTAAGAACAGGGTCAGGGCAGGAAGTGGGCAGACAGCCACACACCGACAGCCAGAGGGACCCTCCTGGCCCCACGTCTGCCCCTGCCACCCCCAGCGGAGTCTGCAGACAAAAGGCAGCCGGGCATTCTGGCCTCGTCCTGGGCACGGCCTCGCTCCTGCCCCGGACTCCCGAAGCCAGGGCTGCATCTGGGGAGATGGGCTTTCTCAGCTGATGCGAGTGCCTGGGGAGAAGTGGGACAGGGACAGGAGTCCACGGGGTAGATAGAGATGTAGAAAGTGAGCTCCTCGAACAAGGCTCCGCAGAAAGGGGGGATGGGGCTGCCGGGAGGGCGCAGGCTCCCAAGGCAGGTGCTATGTGTCCCCGGAGGCCCGAGTGCAAGGTTTCCAGGGCACCCCCTGCCTCCCCTGCTCCCTGGCACTGGGCCAGGCCCACGTCATCCTTCTCACCTAACCCGACACCCTTTGTCATCCGCAGATCCTCTGTGGGAAAGAGATCCCTCGCTGGATCAACCGACTGGCCTACTTCAGCTCCTGCATTCCCTTCCTACAGAGTTGCCTCCCCAAGGAGTGGCTCACGCCCGCGGCCCTGCAGTCCAGCGTCAGCCAGGAGCTGCAGGAGGAACTGGAGGAGGCCGAGGACGCCGCTGCGTCCGCCTCCGTGGCCAGTGCTGCGGCCGGCCCCAGGCCCGGGCGCCACACCAAACTCTAAGCGTCTCCAAAGCCCCCCCCAGAGCTGTCTCGGACAGGGGACGGTCAGCTAGTGAAAAGTACAAGAGCACGCGTCCTCTGGACATTCTGTATGCAAAGATGGCTCTCCCCCCCCCCCATCCCAGTTTTTCAGCTCAGGATTATATTTGTAATCAAAAGAATCACTCGGCGCAGGAGGGAGAACTTTGTATGAAGCTGCCCTCTGGTTTTTTTTACCCACTTGTAAATTTGGATTTCCTTCTGTTTTATACGAGCTCTGTTCAGTTATGTTTACAGTATTTTGTATCGCTGTTTACAAATCGTGCATGGACTCCTGCCACCGTGGAAGAAGGAAGCATTCGCGGCCCCAGGGGGCGAGGCGGGCCAGCTCTGTAGCCTCCCGACAGCGGCCAGAGCTGTGGCGGGGCCCCCAGGCACGCGACAGGTCCTGGAGCAGCCAGAGTCACCGTCCCCTGCTTACGAATGGTCTTTTAGGTTCGTGTTTGGTTTTGTCCATGTTCAGGACGCAGAGGGGAAGGAGAACCTGGGGCTGAGGGCAGTGGCTCGCAGCCCCGCAAGGGAGCGCAGTCCCCAGGCCCCCCCAGATCCAGGCCAGGGAGGTGGGGGGGGGCAAGGGGGGTGCGCTTGTGTCCCAAATACTGGTCCAGCTCAGCAAGCGGGCCCCTTCCCGTGTCCGTCTGGCTCAGACACCTCTGATTCTGTCGTTAAGGTCGTTTTCGTTGAAGATACCCCTGCTGGTCACTGAGGAGTATTTTTGCACACGCGCGGGGGGCCTCACCTTCATTTTCGTATATCCACTACCCTCCCCGCCCCGGGCTGCGACGACAGGGTGGGAAGGTCCAAGCGACAGCCTTCTGAATAGCCGTATGAGGTGACACGCAGCTGCTTTCTTACTGGTCGGGCCGCCTGTTGCACGAGACCTTGAGAACCGGCGGCTGAAGTAACACTGTCCAGCGAGCGACTCCGCAGTCCCGCGACGGGAGTCGCTTCCCCTCATCATAGGAAACCGAGTCTCGTTGACTTTTTGTTGGAAGATATTCGTGTGTCTTAAGTCATCTTTCTGTTCTCTCAGATGTGTGTCTTACAGAACCTGCTCTGAGGGAGAACTTGGCCGCCGCAGACGAGTCCTTCCTTAGCAAGGACTCCGTGTGCACAGGCTACTTCCCGTTTGACCCCTGGACGTAAGAGCCAAGTCATTACGTGTCAGATTCAATTTTTCTGCCTTAAGAATGAATGTCCTACATAGAATATTGGATGCGGCGTAGAAGTTAATCCGAGGCAGTGACTTCAGCTCTATCGAGACGGTTAGTTTCAAAGGCACCTCCGCTCGCGCAAACTTCTCGATTGGGTCGTTTGCTAGAGCGCTTTGTGAAGATCCGTACCTTTCAGTAAAGGACATTTTTAACTTTTCCATCAGCTGATTTTGATTCATTTTTATCAACTGAAGCACACACTGTTCCTAGGGAAACCAAACCTTGGGTTAGAAGCTTTGACCTGAGGAAAATGAAGCCACTTAACCCAATTTACGCTTCTGACTGTTCCGTTTCTGGAGAGGAAAGCCTCGGCCATTCTACCCTCGGTTCTTCAGAGGGTGCAGAGCGCTCGTTTCAGAGACGCGGCCGAAGGAGGGAAGGAGTATATGGTCTTTGTGAGAAGTGGACTCGGTTCAGGCCTCAAAAGGAGATTTAGAATCAAACACTAAGACTCTGGCCTGGTGTGTGTTCCCTCAGAGGAGAGGTCTAGCACCAGAAGCCAGGGTAGTGGAAAGTGTCGGAGACAGTTTGCTTGGGATTTTTTAAAATACGGTGGTGGGTGATGGTTGTTTCTGGTCCATTCTGATGGACGTGATTTTAGTCTGCGCTGCTGACCCGCATGAAGGAGTGGCTGCCTGTTAGACCCCTCTAGGTGAACGCCAGGGACATCCCGTCAGTGCTTAGCCGGAGCCCAGCGCCTCAGCACACAAATGATTTCTCCATCGTCCTGTTGTATTTACTTTCATCTGCGGCATTTGGAGTGAAAAATAGCGTGAAGGGGCCTGGTAGAAATAAATAGTGGCCTGAGGCCGCTCCTCATAGTAGCAGTCAGCAGCCAAAATCCTGGGTGCGAGATTGTTTGCCATCCAGTGGTACTTGAGATTGAAAAAGAAACGTCTTTACTTTGGAAACTCATTTAAACCAGTTCCCCTCTGTAGTTCAAAGTTGCGGTTGGACTTAATGGACTAGCACTTAACCAGCTCTCCTTGCCCCTTCTTCTCAGCCTGATCTCTGTTCAGAAAAATCCGTGTCCATGAGGGTACGTGTGGCGGAGTCAGAGATGCTCTTTGTAGTGGGAACCAAGCGAAACACATTTCTCACGGTGGGTTGGACAGTGGCAGACTGTGGGGGGGCCAGAGCTGCTGGTTTCTGTTGGTTTTCAGTGCCCTCGCTGGGGTCGGTCGGTTTGTCAGCCCTCAGAAGGGGGCATCGGCTTTGGGAAGTGCAGGAGGAGGCGCGGAGAGAGGCTCCGCCGGAGGCCTGCCCCCAGCCAGCCAGCCGCTGCTCTGACCCCAGCAATAGCGCACAGCTCCCTTCACCAGCATCCGTACAGAGCAGGGAGGCCCGGGGTTCGCCGATGGGCGCCTTCGTGCGTGCCAGAAGAGTCCTCGCTACACGCGCTGCGGGACTCCGTGTCCGTGTCTTCTCTCCATCACGAAACGGGTAGAAACACACTCACTGCTTCAGGGCTCGAATCTGTGTTGTCTTCTTATGGCTCCGTTTCTGCAAGATACTTGGTCGTTTCGATCCGTGCTGTATTTCCTTTGGGTTTTGTTCCGCAAGCTGGCCACGCTGCCGCGGCGTACCCTTCCCTTCCGTTTGGTCTTAGGGTGCGGCTCAGGCATCAGACTCGCCTTGTCTACGCAGTCCATACACATCTTCACTGTTCGAGAGGTGTTAACAGCTGTTAAAGAATCTTCATGAACCTGAAGATCATTTCTTGTGAAGTTGAATGCAAATGTACTGTCATTCATAGTGTTTATATATATAAAAAAAAAAAAAAAACCAGGAATTTCACTTTTGCTACCTTGATATAGCATTGGGCTATCATGTTAACAACATTGAAATACATCAATTTATTAAAAAATACTTTTATAAGAAATGTTTCCTAGTGCTTTCTGACTACAGCTGTGATGCGGTGGGCAGTGACTCTTAAAACCCCAGGCTCCCATCTGCTCTGTAGATGCGGTCGGCCCTCTGGTCAGCCCACGCAGTGACTCACGTGCTTGCCCTCAAGCCCAAGTCCACTGGCCAAGTCCTTAGCTCCCAGAGAGCATGGCCACAGTCCTCACAGCGGCAGCGGGTGTCAGCCCCCCGGCTCCCGGGCCATGAGAGCCGGCTGGGAGGGGAGACACATCCTCTCTGCTGTGCACCCAGAGCACAGGGGGGTGGCCCGCAGAGGGAGAGCCTCCGCTGCACATGCGGGCTCCCTGTTCCCTGTAAACCTGTTCCGCTTCTGTCTAGCGCATCCAGCATGGCCCTGCCCTTCTCCGCTGGCTTTTTTGTACCTAGCCGAGTCTTATGTCCCTCCACTAACTCAAAAACTCTTACATTAAGTACTGTTAAATAACGGCTGGCGGCCCCTCCCTGCTAAAAAGGAATGACGGACAGGCATGTGTTCTCCCCTCAAGCACAGGGACCAAAGGGAACCTCCCCCCCGCCTCCCGCCGCCAATGCCCCATCTGAGTAGGTTCTGAACAGCCTCCAACAAGTTGGTCCCAAACTCAGATCTGGTCAAGCCGCTGGTCTTGCCTACAGAGAAGATGCCGAATGCACTGAGAGAATAGCTCCTTTTCCCTGTTACCCTCCCCAAGTTCTCACCACCCAGACCCTGGCCTTGTTCTGAGTTTGCGGAAATCTGTGCTAATAACGATGAAGGCCTTTGGCTGTACTTCCAAGAGGTAACTTGGACGCAGGCAGCTACCCGTTTCCTTACAAATTCTGAGCCCAGAGAACTGCTGAGCCCTCTCAGACTCGTCCCTTTGATCCTTTCTCCCAAAAAGAACATCCTCCCCAAGACGATCGCACCTTGACCCTACCCTGGGCAGTGGGCGTGGTTTCCTTCTTGTCAAGGCCAAGGAGGGAAGCTAACGGGAGTTAAGAAGGGCCTTCTCCCAACTTGGTCATGCAGGCATTCTTTTCCGGAGGCTGGATGGGCGTACCTGTACCCTGCAGCCGTGTCCTGATGGGGAGGGCTCCACGGCCCCAATCTGGAACGTTCCATTCCCATGCTGTTGAGCACAGTAGAGCCCTCTACCCGGAGCTCCTCTGTGACCCCCTCATTCGGGAGCAGTTGCCTGTTTCCACCAAACACTTCTGGCTACTCGGCTGCCCCAGCTAGGGGAGCCGGTGGCTACCACACTAGCATCCTCACCCCTAACCCCCAGCGATCGGTGGGAGCTAGTGCCTGAGCAACCTTCAGATGTTCCAGAAGCTGCCGCCATACAGAGGGAGCCCAACAGGCTGGCCTAGCTTTGCGGACAGGTGGATCCGGGAATATGGTCGGCAAAGCCGAAAGCCAGACCCCTCAGATGAAGGGGGTTACGACCCGCTCTGCTGGCTCTGCTGGGAAAGGGATATGCACTGGGCAGGGCAGCAAAAAATTAGACAAGGAGAAGTTACTCCGTCCACCCAGGGCCCTGTCTATGTGATTATCCACCCAAATGGGGACTGGGGTTTTGGGGTACCCAAACCGAAGCAAGAAAGACTAAGGCAAGCAGGGCTGCCGGACTCGGCCCTAATCAAAGGCAGAAGGACCCTCTGGCCTCCTGTTTCCCCCCACCCAGGGTCAGCGAGTGGGCGCCATGGAGAGGCCCTCACAGAGGCCCCTGGTGGGCAGCCGACAATCCACAGAAGACCAGCATCTCTGCAAAAAAAAGTCACTTTGGGAGCATCTGGGTGGTTCAATGGGTTGGGCCTCTGCCTTCGGCTCAGGTCATGATCTCAGGGTCCTGGAATCGAGCCCTGCATCAGGCTCTCTGCTCGGCAAGGAGCCTGCTTCCTCTCTCTCTCTCTCTCTGCCT